CATCATTCCCATTCAGAACGTATCAGCTTGCGTTTTGGCCCCGTGCACACTTTTTAGATCACTCTGCACTCTGAAGATGCCGGGGATAAGAGAGCAACTTAATTATTCCTTCAGGCCAATAGCTTTCAAGGCCCGGCACCCCTGGCAATAACCTCCTTACTAATTATGCAAATAGATCGAGACAAGACAAAATGAAAAGAGGAAAGAGGAAAAAAAACTGCTCTGCATGTCTTTCACCCCGTGTTATTCTCACACCTCTTGCTATCTCCATCTAGAAAGTCTTTTCACTCCCCTCCTTCCCTCTTGGCTGTTCCCCCCCTTGTAGTTTTTATACAATAACCATCTAATAATAGCCTCTATGGGAGAATCTCAAATGAAATGCCACCTATTGTTCCACTGCAGCTCAGTCAGAAATTATTACAGCCACTGGGAATTGTGTGTTTATTGGGCTAGATTCTCAGGTGATGTTGGGTGTGCGCTCCGTCCACATGGCAGTGCTATTGTTGCCGGCCGACGGCTGCCCTCGGGTGCTGGCACTAAAACAAAGAAGCTTTTTTTTTTTTCCACCCTCCTCCTCCTTTTACCAGGCGACTGACTTGACAGATTCATCGGTTTTCTACTCAGCGGCTGCCAGTTGATTGTACTGCAGTGATTCAAACTGTGACATTGACGGGATTCTCAGCGTTGCACACCGGACTGCTTAGGGAAATGGGATTAAGTGGTTTCTGGGAGTGCACATGTGTGGTGACTTGTGTATATAAAATGTGTGTTTGTGTGTGTGTGGTCCAGGGACTCAGAGGAGGTCGTGCTGTGCGAGAGAACTCACCCGAAGTCCCAAATTCACAGTGAATAACAAACATACGCAGCAGGAGGAGGCCGACAGGAGCACAAGGAGCACACACGGCTGTAGTTAAAACAGGGAGGGTCTGATGGCGTTGAGGCACTCGCACACTTTTGGAGATGCAGCCCAACACACTTCCACCGAGAGCTCATGCACAAATACACAGATGCATTCTTAGATTTTTGCACATGTATTATAAGTGCATTTTTATAATTACAAGTCATTGTGATGTCCTTTTTAATCAGAAATTCAGTAAGTAAACACCATTAATGTTCCATCTTCTTTCACCCACAGTTTGTCTTTTTTTTAAAAAAGCATCAATATCTCATTTATTGAAAACATCAGAAACTTTGCTTTCCTGCCTTTTGGTCATATTCTGTTGGGAAAATAATCCTTGTATGATGCATGAAACCCTAATGGCCCTGAAAATGTGAATAAATAGGCAGCAGTGTCAGTTAAAATAAAGGCAGGATGAAGTCATAAGAGTTAAAATCTTAGATAATTAGCATTTGTCGTTAAAACAGGGAGGGTCTGAGCTCATACACAAACATGCAGATATATTCTTAGACATTTGCTCATATTGTAGCGCATTTTTTTTAATTGCAGTGTAACAACAAGTGTTCCTTTTAATCAGCAATTCATTATTTAATGACCCCCCACTGGTAAATCTTCTGAAAGCTTTCAAAATGTAGAACTTTGTAAAAGTCATCCTTGTATCGTCTATGAAAACACATAAAACCCTAATGCCCCTTAAAATGTGAATAAATAAGCAGCGCTGAAAGTTGGGATTAAAGCAGCATTAAGTCCTAAAGAAATGTCAGATAACTCACTTCATGTGTCGTCAGTGTGGGTGTGGTTTGATGGATGATGCTTCTGCTACAGAAGCAAACAGCCTCACATCTGTCCTCACTTATTGATATAAACATTGCTCAAGCTTGATTGGTGCACAGAAATGCATTGCTTTATTCCAGCTGTGTCACACCCACTTCAAACCAACAAATACAGCAACAGCTACAGGAAGGTTTGTGTTCTTGTTGGTCCTCATCACCTCCAGCAGGGTCTCCTCTGGTCCTCACAGAGACCAGGTTCTGTTTGGCTTCAGCGGCATTTGGAGGTTTTGGAATAATTTGGCATTTTTCTACATTTTTTTGACCATTATCCTAAAAACATTTGTGGAGAAAAGCTGACAACACCATATATACACATGGAAAATAAATATTGATCGTCTTCCTTATCTGAGCCGCTGGTTGTGATTTCCATCCAGACTTGACAGTAATGTACAATACACACACAAACATTGATTATTGATTGCTAGGTCATTCCAGTTACTAGCTGTACTTTAAGCGCACACAGCTGTTGTTTTTACATTCTTTCCGACATGTCGCCTTTTTACATTCATTTGGCTGAAGGCACTCTGCAACAACACATAACCTCTGTGAGGTAGAAAACATAGTTCTCAGCTTATTGAGAAAAATAACATCTTTATTAGCTTCAAAGCTTTCTATCATGATAGGAACACCAGTCTAAACAGTCAGTGAGGGATTTCTCTTTAGTTTTTAACATAATTAAACCAAAAATCTGTCTTCTGGTGCAGACAGGAACTGGTCTGTATTTTGCTGCTTCTAAAGGAGTTTTGTTTTGCAGCTTTGCTTTTTTTATGTTTCTCAAATGGGGTTAAGAAAGTATAAAGTGCATTAGTGGGTTAATTTGAATAAAAGGTCACTCAGTAGCTTTTTCGTTATTTCAGGAAAGGAACAAAGGACGATGATCAGTGACTTTAAACCTGACCTCTACACACATACAAACACACACATTCACACTTTTTGTTTTTCTCCATTCAGCTCATGTACATCAGGTCATTCACCCACGCTGGCTGGATGCAGCAGCACCCAGCAGCACACTGGTCCCACTGGTACTCGGTTGTGGGGAACAAACAGCGAAACTGGCTCAGACCTCCAGGTCTTCGGCTTTAAAACCCAGACATTAAATGCTAAAGACAAACGAACTTCTCCCTAAGCTCAGCACAGAGGGCTTTCATGAAGCATTGAAGCTACCCTTCTTTTGATGCCAATTTCAAAATACAGATTAAAGACAAAGTCATGCGCTGCATATCAATGGGAGTTTTTAAGCCGTGCTTTTCAGACGCAGAGAAAGGGGACTATTTTATTTTTTCGCCTCGGCACAGGGAGGTTTTTATCTTTATTTGCGAGGGCACAGCTTGAATTAATCATAGTGTTTTGACATAGGAACACCATTGTGCCTCCTGCCAAACTCCTCTTGGTGTAAGCTGATTAGCCAGGAGCAGTTTCACGCTGCTTTTAAACTTCAAAATATGTTTTATGGTTTAAAAAGTTACCGTTTATTGGTGTGGCTTTTTTTTTGTTTGTTTTTTTTTTTTTTGGAACCATTTTTTGTTGTTGTTGGCCTGTTAAAAGGTTTCTGCAGTCTCACGCTTAATACAGTAGCCTGTTGTCACAAATAAATTAAATCCTGAGGGTGTTGCTCAGTAACTGACCGTTTTTTTTTTTGTCTGTGAATGCTGATTACATTTTTCTCATTTTCACCTCGGAGTGGAAAGAAGCAAATGTCATTTTGTCAGACCACAGTTTTAATTCTTTTCCCCCCAATATCTGAATTCTTTCAGTCACTGCTGAAACATCCTCATTTGTCTGTTTGCATCTGGGGTCAGAAATCACACGTCCTCCAACAGAAATTAAACAGAACTTTTGACAGAATTCTGAATCAGCAGCGAGAACACGCTGGTGGGCAAGAGTGAGTCATGCTGATGAAACTCTGAAAATAACTCTGAATCCATGCTTGTGCCTGTAGATTCATAAACATGGTGGATATTTTTCACAGTATTCAGCAGCTGTGGAGGAGTTCATCACTGATATGCATATTTATTGCGTGCGTCACTGTGAGAAGAAACGACCTGAACAGGACGGTTTGTGTCTAAAATCTCAGCGTTCATCATGTGCAGAGCAGAAAATCATGAAAAATAAAGCCGAGTGAATCACATTCTGGATGGTGTTCGTTTAATTAAATTCCAATATAGATCATGTTTGATAGAAGTTCAATTTGTTACATTTCAGATAATTTGTCAGAAAATGGTGTTAAAGCTGTCACAGCAGATGCTGTAACAGGAATAAACTGAGATTTTTATCTATTTCTAATGCAGTGACGGTTTCCTTTGTTGTCAAGATTGTGTTCAAGGACTTAAAGTTACCTTTTATTAGTTCTTTGTCTCTCTTATCACGGATTTTTTTTGTGTGTGTTAAAAAAATTCTTTGCTTGTGAAAGACACCTTTTGCTCTTTGATAGTGAAGGATGAACACAAGAAGTTGACTTTAACCGCAAAACCCATCGGCGGGTTTGAAAGGCTGTTACCTTCAGAAACACATCACCTCAATCACACTATTGATCAGAGCCAGAAACTGTGAAACAAAAGGAGTCACTGAATTTTTTTACCTTACACTGGTCAAGGATCGAATCCTTTCTGATGCAGGATTTAGTCAAGAAAATTAACCAAATCTATGCTTAACATCATATTTAATCAAAACTGCTTTACTCTAAATGTCTCTTTTAAAATGCAGCAAAAATAAACCGCTTTCAGTTCCCAGATTCTGTAAAAAAATAAAATAATAATAATTGATTTTGCGCTCTGCGATGCAACAATGAGGGCAAATCAACAGACACAAAGATTCAGCAGCTGAACTGCAGGTTGTTGACACGCAGCAGATACGGGACAGTATGGAAACTAATTAGAGAGATAAAGACCAAAAAAACAAGCAATAAGATAAATAAAACAAGACTCAAAACATCACAGTTGGCCAATTTGCCCGTAAGCTGTAAAGTCAAATGTCAGATAAAACTCAGTAATGGCAAAAAAAACAGCAGCACAAGCTTCACAAAGCCAAAACATATCACTGGCCGAACCGAAAAGACTCAAAAAGCACTGAAATAAATATACAAGCAACACAAAGACAAGCAGGGGCGGTCCAAAAGGAAATAGAAATAAAAAATAAAACTCATCAAAAGACCGTTACAGACCAAACAAACAAAACAACTCAAGCCAACCACAAACAGACGTTCAGAAACTTTGGCTCTGAAGACCAAAAGTCAAAGACAGTCGTAAAAAGAATGATTCTGTCTCCTCCAGGAAACTACCAGCTGTCTCCGACGGTCAACATGCCGCAAGACGACACCGTCATCATCGAGGACGACCGGCCGCCACTGCTGCCGCCGCACCTCTCCGACCAGTCGTCGTCCAGCTCCCACGACGACGTCGGCTTCGCGGCCGACGTGACTCCGCCGTGGGCCAAGGAGCCGCCGACTCCCATCGACAGGTGGGCCAAAGCTTTCTCCACATTTTCCTTCACGCTTGTCATGTGCAATCTAAACACGTCAGCTAGCTGCAGCTCCGTGTTGTCAATATTTTAAAGCCAGTAAATCATTCCTGTTTGCATTGGCGAGTTCTTTCAGTACAGTTTCATGCACACAGTTGCAGATTCATTGGGTTTATTCTAATGTGGTTTTAACCTTCTGAAAGCTGCACATCTGAACAAGGTCAGCGTGCGTCCTGTGTTGGAGGCTGGAGTACACATGTGTTCATTCCACTGATTACTGGCTGATTGTGAGCGCTGGACCTCTTGTGCACAACCTCTCAGCCTGATGTGAAGGACGGGAGTTCTCACACAGTGTGTGGAAGTATAGCTGGTCTGATTGTTATTCCATCTTATAGATTCTCTTTTCTTTTTTTTCCAATCAGTTGAATAAATGGCACTTTTACGTCTTTATTTTTTTGATTGATTGGCGCTACGCCCACCGATGGGTTCAGTTATAACATTTAGGCAGAAACTGAAATTAATCGGTAAATTTTCTGTTTTCTCATCAGTGGAGAAGCTAATAATGTGTGGACTGTGGCTGGAGTAACATCATATTTCATCAAAACCACTTTATTCTAAATCTATCATTTAAAAATTATCAAAAAAAACAAGTCCTTTGCAGTATCTGCATTCTGGAAACAACAAAAAGGTCCAACGAAGAAGTCCTGACTGACCAAGACACACACGACAAACAAATTCAAGGACTTTTGAGTTTAGGCACAGAAATAATTAGAGAATAAAATAAATACGGAAGTACAGTTTGTCAGTAAGCTGTTGGAAGATGCATTCAGCACGGTGGAATGAATTTGCTTTATTTGCCATCCTTACCTGTCACTTTACTTTTTTCAATATAAAACACAAAACTTCTCCCTTCTTTCTCACCGGCATTCTCTATTCTCTCAGTTCTACTCCTTTTCTTTCATTTTTCTCGCCTCAACAACCTTCTTATCTCCAACTTTATTCTCTCTCGTCTCTTTCTGTCATTGCCCCAGTCCTTGATTTTCTTGTATTTCACTTCTCCTAATTCTTTCCACGATCTTGCCCCATCCTTCCCCTCGTTCTCCCCATTTCGTATTCACCTCTTTTTCCTTCTTTGAACCTTTTGAGGTCAAGTAATACAGGTTCTTTGAACTTCTTCTCCTCATGTAACCCTGTTTTCATGCCTTTTTAAAAACTTTTTTTTTTTCTTTCTTTCTGTCTCTCTGGTACCTTTTTTATTTATTTTTATTTTAATTCTGAATATTTTTCATAAAAGATGCTAGGTCTGCTTTGTAACTTTGCCTTTGTTTTGGCTTATCTGTTCTACTAAATTGTTTTTCTTCACTGTTTTCTGCTGTGAAACTTCACTTTTCCCTGTGTGGAATCAATAAAGTCGGTCTTATCTTATCTCCTGTCACTCCCTCCATCCAGCGCCCTGCCTACAGATGAAAACAATCCGGACGGTGCTTTCCAGAGGGAAGGTTTTGGACGCCAGAGCATGTCGGAGAAACGCACCAAGCAGTTCGGAGACGCCGCACAGCTTGAGATCATTAAGACACGCAAGTCCAAGAGCATGGATTTAGGTACAATGTTCAAAAACTTCCTTTTGCCTTCCAGCGTTTGGGTTATACTTTAAATTTCAAGGATTTTCCAAGAGCGGGGAGCGAGGTACAATGCAGTAACCTCCACATGCATTCATGCATGGAATTATTCATACATTTTTTTCTTCCTCCCTTTCGAATTGATGTAAATTTTAACATGTTTAATATGAATGCATTTGATATTATACCCTCGAGTCTGAAAGCAGGGTCAGCGGCTTACCAGGTCGGCTTTATCCGTCAGGTTTCTGCTTAACTATCGCCCACACATTCAGGTTTTAACACACCTGCTTGTCATATTGAGGGTTGAATTTTCAGGATTTACTTGAGTTTTGGACTTTTAGTGCCATTTACATTAAAATCCTGGTTGTACTTGTTGAGAAATTCAATTTGCATGTCTCAAAGTGGGAAAAAAGATCAATTCAGTGCCTAATAATACCAAAATGATGCGCAAATGATGCACAGAGACCTCAGTTCTGTCGTTCCCAGTCATAAATGGCTGAGGATGGGTTTCCTCACTGTTTGGAGGAGGTGGTAAGATTCCCTTTTTCTTTATCCCCAACGAAACGTTTGGGTTTAAGTCCATAAATGCAGCAAATTCAGCATTTAGGAGTCATTCGATAAACTCAGTGCACCTCGTTTTGCGTGTTTAAAAGTCTTCCAGAACCAGATTTCATGTAACCTTGAGCACACGTCCCTGCACGCTCCACATGTCTCAGACATGTTCCTCCTATTTAAATGTATTCCACCCCTTTGCCTCTTTGTATGAAAACAGACTCTGCATCTCTCGCCAAAGTCAAGAACTTCACCGAGTTGATTCACCTTGAAATGGCTCCGAACAGTTGCTGATTGCTTTGGCTGCAACAGTCTCTCTGCTCGCACTCTCTATAATCATATCTAATCTTCCCCACCAGATTGCTGCTGTGTGCCATGTTGATATCACAACAAGTCTGATTGCTATCCTCAAACCCTCTTTTCATTTCCCTTCTCCCCCCCACCTCCACCACCACAACCCCACCTCCTTGTCTCGCATGGCGTCCGATCCTAATTGAGATGAAGCCCTCTGTGATGTTCGCGGCACTACCTGGATGTTGCATGTGGAATGTCATGAGCACTAACTGAACCCCAAATGTTTGTATCCCTCCTCTCTTTCCCCCCTTCTTCCTTTAACAGTAGCCGACGAGATTAACCTCACCCCTCGTCCTGAGACCAACACAGGTAAGGACCGGTGCACTGACAGGTAGAATGAAAAACTGACCTTCGCTGCCATCACCTTCACTTTCACGGCTTGGTACTGAGGGGTGTAGCTGGTATTTGAAAATCATATTTAGAGCTTTGATTGGATCTTTTTTTCATTTATAAAATAAAATATGCACAAATGATGTTATCTTGTTATGTACAGTTGGACATAACAAGGACAGTTGTTTACCCTCTGAACCCCAAATAGCTTCTGGCCCTTTTACTTTTCCTCTCTGTGGGCTCATCTTTCACTGCCGTATATGAAGTCCTGCACCTCTATGAAAACACCACAAGTATGTCTAGAAGTAGAGAGAACTCAGAAATGTCTTTTGTGTGGTGTAAAAAAAAAGTCAGAAATCCTAAATGTAAAAAAAGAAAAAAGAAAAACATTTTTTTCTGATTATTTCTTTTACAAAACTTGTAAAAACCTGGAATCAAAATGCACAACTTGTTTCCAGGTGCCTGCAGGTCTTTGTTACCAGTGCTGGAGAAAAATGGTGGCTCTGCATGCCGTAGATATTTTACATTTTAAATTTGTCTCCATACTTGTCTGTGGTCTGTAAACACAGCCTGCAGTTCATCCCAGTTCAGCTAAAAAGTCCCTGAATTCTCATTATGTGTTGTTGGTTCCAGTCGAGTCACTGAAGGCGTCTTGGTTGTGCAAAGGAGTGCAGAAAGATTTTGTTTTTACAGAATCTGGTTCAAATGGTTTGTTTTGGCAAATTTTGAAATTAGAATAAAGTGATTTTCAGGATGTAACTTGATTTAAAGCTTCGATTTGGTTGTTTTTCCTCATGAAACTGAAAATCACACATGCTCAGTTCAGGGACAGTCAGTAAGTTAAACATTCATCGGTTCTTCATGTGTGACAGTTTTTTCATGCAATGAGTTGTTTCGTGTCATTTGGGCAATTATTATTATTATTTTATTTATTTTTTTTTTAATTACAAATTGCCTTTAAGCCCACCAGCGTGTTTTGGACTTCAGAGGGTTCATTGAAATATTGCAAATACTTTTGGGTGGTAGAAAGAAAGAAAAAAAAAAAAAAAAACAAGGCCTGTTTCAAAAAGTAGTAATGTAATTGAGCTAAATAATTGAGAATGTTCAGTATGTGCACATGTTTTGACAGAAGTTATCGTATTAAAGCACGTTTTTGTCAGTAAATGTCAGATTTGCAGTCGAGATAGTTTCCAACACGTTCCTTTGCCTCCAGCAACTGAATCAAAAGTGCTCTGTGGTTTCATGAAATCTGGTTTAATACTGAAGCAAAAAATAAATAAATAAATTAACTGTATTTCATTGAGACACTCGATGATTTAAATCACTTTGTCAAAACCAGCTTCTGCCCCTCTGGCCCAAGTCCTTCATATCTCACATCCATCTTTACTGTCTGTTTGTTTCATTCACTCTTTGCATCAGAGGAAGTGTTGTTTGTTTCTCTAGCAACACATTATAAAACCTTTTGGGAACAATTTTTATCTGCAGAATGGAAGAGATTTTATCGCCCAGAACTATAAATAAGCTGGTGTGTGGCTTCAGAGAGCAGATCGATTCATAGCAGGTACAGGACGTGACACAAACTGCTCAGAACAACAGTGACACGTGTTAAATTGCACATATTGATCTAAAACTATAAATTCTGCTGCTAACTTGCAGACTGCGTCTCATGGAGGGTTTTTTTTTAACTTGCAGCTCCACTCTTTATGCATTTGTGCAGCGTTCCCTGTGTTTAGTGTTGGGCTCGCTCTTGACAAGACGAATTTGTCAGTCTGCAGAGCGAAGTCTCGCAGTCCTCGGCACAGTTTAAGGTCGCTGCTGAACATGGTTGTGAAAGCAGTTGGGTGACTGCAGATTTGATTTTCTCCCTTTTTGCCTCAGATGCAGCTGCAGCACTAATTGTTTTGTGTGTGTGTGTGTGTGTGTGTGTGTTTATGTGTGTGTGCGCAATCGGAGGAGGCAGCACAGAGAAAGCACTCTGTCCTTGGTTAAGGCAGTGAGCTGACAGCGAGTCATCCGTCATTGTCAGGTCTTGTGTATTTTCACTGTCGCCTCGACTGAATAAAAGGGCCGGCCTCTGGAATCAGCGACTTGGACAAAAGGACAGATCTCGCTGAAGGAAGACGTGTAGAGGAGGAGAAGGAGAGAGATGAGACTGTAAGGAAGAAGATGTCTGAGGGGCAGTTTGCAGCAACAAGTGGACGCGACTGTGGAGAGACTTGGATTTGTGTTTTAATGGTTCATGCTGTTGCCGTGTGATGGAGAGGAGGTTGTTTCCAACTTTCTATCATGTTATATTAGCATGAGTCAGCGGGGATGAGAGTTTTTACTAATTTTAGAAGGTATGTTTGCTAAACGGGGCAACAGATGAATCAGCTGGACTGTTGCATCATCTTGTATCAGCCAGGAACAGTAAGAACTGGGCATGTCAGCTGCATCTTAAAATCCATCAGTTTCTCATAACTAAGATGACAAAACATGTTATAATAATAAATAAATATTATAAATATAATAATAAAAGTGTAACAACCTATAAGACCATCACAGACATTGTTCGTAGGAGCATTTTTGAGGTTTTGGTTGAATTTGGACCAGACCTTTCATGGCTTTCCTGACTTTTGATAGTTTGCTAAAATGCAAGAAGTGATCACCTGAGCAGCAAATCCAACTCCAAACTTCAATTTGACCCTTTTTTTTAACCCTTTATAGGGCACTCATTGAACTACTTGGAAATTTTAAATTTCAATCCTGGAGTGTTATTGGTGGATATTTAAGGGCATTTTTAGGCTGCAGACCAAAGTCAAAGCAGTTACCATAAACGATTCCTCGCCCACCGAGGGTATAAAAAAAATCCAAATAATATGTGGATAAATTATTGTTAAAAAAAAAAAAAAGACTTACAGAACTTATGATACTTTAGTCCAAATATTCCTCTGGCTCACTCATGATTGGTCAGAGACCCTAGTGGCTGTGTGTGATGTAGACTGATTGGCTGGATTCTCTTCCTTGCTGTTTTTAAAGCCTGTGGAAGCTGCTGTGTACAGTTACTTGCCCAATAAGGGGTTAAAAGCTGCATTATTTCCCAGAAACATGCTGTCACAATAGTATGTCCCACTTTTCCTTGTTATACCACATTGAGCAAACTCAAATCAAATCAAATCAACTTTTATTTGTATAGCAATTCTCGTACACTATGGCAACGCAAAGTGCTTTACAGCATTTAAAAATATTATTAAAAAAAAACAAAAAAAAACATCCCTCCCATCCTCCATGCATACACATACACATACGGCAAATGTAGTCACACACACACACACACACACACACTCACCACTGAGCTTAGGGAAACATGGCATGGCACTGAGGATTGTACACTACCATTGGGCGGTCCATACTGGGAGGAGTCGCGGACCATGACCACTGGGGACGCCGGCACCCGGACCCCCCAGTGACAGACGGGGGTTTCCCACCTCGTTGTGGGGATCGCCCCAATCAGCCGGGCTGGAGGGACCCACAGACAGAACCCCCCCCTAGTGTGGAGGACCCCCCTAAGGAAACACTGGAGTTAAAAACTAAGAACAATAAGAGACAGAATAAAAGGCCCTATGGTAGATTAAAAAAACACTGTCGCTGTGACTTGAGCTCAGTCTGGGAGGTTTTGCACCGTCGGCTGAAGATTGTATTGATTTGCAGTGAACCCTCCGTCTGAGGCGACAAGTCGACCCAAACCCAACATGTTCCCTCCTTACTGTAGGAGCCCAGAGTTGAGGTTTTTCCTTTAGTTTGTCACCCATCTATAAGTGGATTTTATGTTTTTTCTGATCAGGATAGTTGCTTAAAACCCAACTTCACTTAAAAAGGGGCAAAACTACTGATTCATAGAACTAATGGACAATGAAATATTTGACATTTTTCTAATTATATTACTTTTAAGATTAGAAAAGTTAAAAAAAAAAAAAAAGTGGTTTCAGTGAGTCCAGACTGTTGCTGAAACAACAGTTGAACAGCTCTGGTTTATTTGGGCTGAACAGGGAGACAACTGTGACAACTGTCTGGCATATGCACTCGATAATGAACTACAACAGATTAATCCAGCAGCACTGTTGTTGTCAGTTCATCTTCTCTCCGTCATCTTTTTGCCTGAGTAATTGTTTTGACTGGAGGAGAGTTAATATGGCTGTATTTGGTTACCAATGACTCAGCAGGAAAACAACAAATACAGGATCCGTCTGACAAAACATTGGATCTTAGACTCATTTTCCAGAAAACTTCTTGTATCATAGCTTTTTTTTTTGTGTGTCTGATGAGGATTATTAATGTTCTTGTCTCATTCAGAAACAAACGTGCAGATGATGTTAGAGCACTTGTTTCTGGTGATAATCAAGCTGCCTTCACGGCGAATCAAAGAATGCTCTTTAATTAACCACCATTGTCTCGTCTGATTTAGAGCGATCTGCCTTTACATTGAAATTCAGAAATGATCTCCGGCATCCCATTTTTAGGCTGCAAATACGGTTTTCTAATTATTGTGATTGAGGTGGATATTTAGTGCAGACTTCATGAGGAAAAGGAGGCGTTTCTCAAGGCTGGAATCTAATTACCTTTCAGCTCCCCCCAGTGTTTTAACCTAATAGATTTCACCCTGTGTTTTTTAAGAGCGCTGGTTTATTTTCACTTTGTGGGCCCCTGGTGTCACTTTACCAACGTTTTCTAAAAATTTGCACTCTTCACTAAGTACAAATGATCCATGGCCCATTTACCAAAGCCAAAACATCAACCGTCCTGCTGAAACCAGAGACTGTGACAGCTATGAGATGGACTATAGTAACCCTCATCTCCTGAGATGTGATTGGATAACACGTTTATTGACACAGGCCAGCGCCACATGTTGGACAAGGACACTCCAGTGACGGACGACAATACGGGACTGTCGGCGGCATTAACCACATCCAGATTTTGTTGCGCTTCTTTGACGCGTCGTAAATCTCTGTGAGAAAGTGTCCTCTGAGTGATCCCTGTAAAGTCCACATTACGAGTCCATTTATATTCATTTTGGGAAAGGAGGAAGTATTTCTTGGAGCTAAGTATTTGGTATTTCCGACACGTGATTTGGTGTTTGAGAGCTTTACGCAGTTTTCTGGGTGCTTGCTGCTCCTGTGACATTTTTAGTCACTGTGGGATCATTTTTACTGTAATATGAAGTCCTGCATCTCTATGGAAACAGAACCACCAACCGACTGGACGCACAAAGAACTTCAGTACGTCTTTAGTGCAGTACGACAAAATTATAATGCAATAAACCACAAGAAATGAAAGTTGGATTTCTTGATTACTTTCTTACTTACTTTTGCAGAAATTGGATTCAACACCTAAAACTTATCACCACTGGAAGAACAAATGACCTGCATACTACTTGACTACTTTTACCATTATTATTGTTGTTGTTGTTGTTATATTTTACGATTAAATTTTTATTTTTAAATTCCCCAAATTATACAATGCTTGACCACAGTCTGCAGTTCAGCCTCGCTCCATCGAAAACTCCCTAATGTTTTGTCACATGACTGTTGGTTGTATCTTCGTCAGTCCTGGTTTCACAGTTGCACCGAGAAGCTGTGAGTTTTTTTGTTTTTTTACAAAATCTAGTTTGAATAAAAGTTTTATTTTTTGGCGAAACAATGATTTTAAGCTGAGATATGATCGCGTTTTCCTGGAAGTTAAAAATCTAATGATTGTCTCTGTTTTTATGGTTTCTAATTGTGATAAATGGTGTCATAATAGTTGCACCAGTTTTTTGCCAAAGCTAAAAGCTTGTTTTTAATCAGAACACTGGCAAACTGAGTCGGGAGTCATGTGCCAAGACTTCTGGTTTAACTTTCTTACTTTAACTTACAACCTGACTTTTCTTTCCAGTTTGTGTCGTTTTTGAACGACCAGCTTCTTAATGTAATGTCATGACACGCTGGGCTTTGTCAAGACGACAGCAGCAGCCAAGTCAAGTGACTTGTGATTTACTCTGTGCGGTTGAATCAATAACGTTGCTGTTGCCAGCTGAGTCTCCTTGAACCGGCTGCTACATGCATCGCCTCTGTTTGTTATTGCAAGAAGCTGAGCTGTGGAGGATGATGTTTAACTGCAGATGAATAGCAGAGCTCAGCGTCTAAACGCACTCACACGGATTATTCAGAATTGACCGACTGGTTTGAAAGTCAGATTGCAGCTAATTTATTTAGCTATTTTATTGCATTTCTGTCAAATGCTGTGTGTGAGCGGTGCTGCCAGACCAGATTATTTGCAATTCAATATGTCTTACCTTGAAACGAATGCCAGATTCTTGTCTCAATTTTATTAGGATTGAGGTTTTTCCAGATTCCAGAAGTGCCCTGTGTGTGGCCCAAGTGACCAAATGAGCAGAACAAGAGTCACTAGAAACCTTAAGTTACTTAAATTTCTTTTTTAAAAAAGTGACCCACCGTCATTTGTCAGATCTCCAACACAGTGTGAATTCTTCTTTTTTAAAACACTGCAGCCGGAGTGTGACTATTGTGAATGGCACTGGGCGAGGCCTTTGAATGAAGCGGGTGTGCACCGTGAAAAGCCTATCAGCCGGGTTCTCGCTGAGATGTTAAGGGAACAGGACAGGCTGATGAGAATGAATGGGAGGCCGCTAACCTGAAAGCTTGTTCATTCTGCATGTATTCAGTTTTCCACTTCTGTTGTTTTTTCCCCAGTCAGTCTCACTTCTAGCAAACAGCCTGAGACAATTTCTTTCTTTTTTTTTTTTAGCTTCTTTCCAGACTTGGTGGCTCATTTCAGTACGTTTCAATATATTTTACCCCAACTGGTTTTCCTTGATTTAAAGAAACTCCATGACATTATGCTTAGAATAATACGTCAACACAGGAAGCGTAAAGTGACTAAAATAGGTCTCCAAGTGTCTTTCCCGCTGCAAATTGAGGTTTTTTTTGTAGTTTTTAAAGAAGGAATTCACTCAAACGTACGGATTTCTGCCGTTCCTTTCCCTCCCTATCTTCCTCTCTTTCATCCAGTCAATATGCCGTGACACCTCATGTTAGTCTGTCAGCTCTTGTGTACTTTGCAGCCTCTGAAGTGACACCACCCAGGAGATTAGCGACTCTTTCATTTACCTTCATACCTCCTCACCTTATCTTTATGCATTTATTATCCACCTCGCATGTTCTGACTCTGTGAAAGGTGCCATATGGGAGGAAAAAAAATAAAATAAAAATTACGCCCCGCGCCGCTGTACGAATAGTCTTAGTTTAATTAAACTGTCATGTTTCTCCAATTTTGCTGATGGTTATTTTCATTCAGAGCCACGTCTTGTAATGAAATTTGTAGTCAGTCAGGAGGAATGTCACACACACACACACACACACACACACACAATCGATCAGCTTCGTCTTTGGTGAAACAAACAGTATCCGGGTTTGATTACGGCGCCTTGTTGTCAGGGCTTATTGCTTGTTGTCCCTTAGGAGGCTGCTCGCATTCAGGTAAACCAGGTGTTGCTTCTCTGCAGAGTATTGGGACCTCTAATAAGAATTTCTTTTTTTTTTTACCTGCTTCTGCAGTTCGTTGACAGGTGTGTGTGTGTGTGTGTGTGTGTGTGTGTGTGTATGTGTGTGTGTGTGTGTGGAGCTGAAATAGTTTTCCTGGCTGCAAGAGTCGTGTGTGAATCCGCAGTCACATATTTGCTGCATTGTTACGAAGCAAAAACACCATTTCACATACTTCTCTGTCAGTTTTCCTCCACACTGCTCTAAAATACAGCATCTCTTTAGACAGATGGATGGATGGATGGATAGATGGATAGATGGATGGATGGAACTTTTTTATTGATTTTGGGCATTGCAGCACCACTACACATTGACACACAAAAGAATACAATAGATGGAAATATAAAAGAACAAGATAATGCAGCATTCTGGTAGATTAATCATACATATACAATACATATACATAAAGAAGAACAAAAGTATGTACAACTAAAGTTCAAGTCTCAAATCTAAAGTGACTTAGTGTTGGAGTATGTCATGTTAGGAAAATGCCTCTTTTGTTAATTGGTTGAAGTTAAGTTAAATTTCTAGGAGCAGCTTTTTAATCACATATTGCAGAGAAAAAAAAAACAGGGAAAATTTCCCACTGAGCATCACCTCGGTTTGCGTCCAGTTTGCTTCCGGCTCCTCTGTTGTGTTGTTGCCATCACACTCGCTGCGTGTGCTAATGGCATTTGCTGTGGATGCTCACCTTAAAGGGTCACGCTGAGGTTTGGCTGGAACATTTCCCAGAATCCACCAACAGCACGGCTTCTGCGGCCGAATGGATGCACTGAGAGGACTCGGAGGTCGTACTTGGACAGCTTTAGTTGATGGTCATTTGGAGCTGGCAGGAAGCGCCTTGTTGTCAAATATGTGTCACGTTGCTTAGTCAGTGTTTGTGCTGGAAAAAGTCTCTTTCTCGTCCTCTGAAATCATCCCCGAACATAACTCTCATGATGAATTTGTCTCTTTTGCATTGCATCATCATCCTTCATCCACTGAGACTCTCTTCAGGCACTCTCCTAATAATAACCAGCACCAATGTGTATTTGTTGGCCAACACTGACGACTAGAGCTCCATTAATATATGGGTTGATATTATCGACCAATATTGTCCTGCTTCAGACGTAATGCAGAAAAAGATGCTTGGGCCGAGTTTAGAAATTGCATAATTTAACCAGCTGATCACCTCCAATGTCATTGTTTAAAATGCTCTGCAGTACATGCTGCAGAGTATGTATCACACCTGAGCAGGTGGTGGTGTGGAGTCAGGTGGTGTCCTCACAGTTCACTGCTACCTACTTTGTGAAATACATTCCTGAAGAGTCAATAAACAATGAGCCCATATGAAGAGTATGTAAAGAGTCTCCTAGAAGTTGGTATTTTCATCAGCTCCATAAATCCCATTGGGCTTTATGACTGTGGTTTGCTCAAGACTGTTTGTCCACTTCCTATAGTACCTCTGTATCCTCCCATCAGGTTCTTCCACCAAGGATGTGGGACCATCGCTGGGCCTGAAGAAGTCCAGCTCCCTGGAAAGCCTCCAGACGGCAGTAGCGGAGGTGACCCTCAACGGGGATCTGCCGTTCCACAGGCCTCGCCCTCGAATCATCAGGGGCCGGGGCTGCAATGAGAGCTTCAGAGCAGCCATCGACAAATCCTACGACCGACCGGCTGCCACGGAAGAAGACGACGAGGGCATGGAGACATGTAAGATATCAAATGTTCAATGTGACCCTGGTATTTAAAGAGGTTGTCCTGTTTCTAAAAAAAAACCATCCCAGGTGTCACATCTATCAGCAGGCCGGAGCCCTGCCAGTGTCCTTCAGCATCCACCTCGGCCGACCTGTAACCCGTCGAGCATCTCTGAAATGTGAAATTAAACACTGGCAGTGCATTATGGGTTACTAAAATGATGCCAGATCACACTAACAATGTCAGCCGCTAAAACCCTGCGCTGGTTTTCGCACGTACGCATGGGAGTGACAGCATTCTGACTAATGCTCAATATGCGGCAGCTGATTTTATCACCGCTTGTGGCAATGGCATATAGATGACTCAGGATGTAACCTCTGCTGCATTAGATGTCAAATGCATCACACTGTCAGTAAGTGATACCTCAGAGAGCAGAAGTCTGGGATATGTCTGCTCTCCACTCGCTTGTTTTGGGGAAATTATTCATATTTTAAGCTGCCTTCTTCAAGAGTCACTGCATTAGATCAGCAGACAGGTCTGGATCTTCTGTTTAAGGCTTATTTTTAGGGATTAGAACTGAAGCGAACACGGAATGAAAACGACACAACAGCACACACGCACCCATGAGTTCTTTTCAAGCAATTATATAACAATACGCAAGATGATGAAATCCTTTCACGGCCCTATCTCGTTTCTAATCCTTCTGTTTTATATGACTTAAAACGTTCCCCCAGATGAGCTTTAAAATGAACCAACCACAGATGTCCACATAAAATTAAATAAGAATTGGGAATGAGACAGCAATGTGTGGGTATCTTTAATCTATGTGAAGTGCCGACTGCCCAGGACTCATCAGCTATTCTCTAACAAAAGTATGAAGATTTATTTTTTTTAATTTCAGTAGAGTAACACACCACAGCACCATAAAATAGTAATTAATGTATTACTGTTCTTCATTTTATATCTCAGCCTCTAATGGTCTCTAATGGTTCCTATCTCATTGTAGAACACAGCTCTGCGATCACTTGTAATATGAAGTTAAATTGTATTAGGCTCCCAGAGCTTTAGAGGCATAATTGCACATTTATGAGACTTATAGATTTTCATTTATTAGGGTTATTGATTTTCATATGTGCCACAGTTCTTCTTGAAACTACCTGTTCGCTGGTTAAAAAGAACATGTTCTCCTGTCCTTCCTGTTTTTCTTTCCTTTCTCCGTCCCTCTGCTGGCATGGTGTTGTTTCTTCATAGTGGAGGAGGACACAGAGGAAAGTTCACGGTCGGGGAGAGACTCAGTGTCCACCATGGCGGACCAGACGCCACTGTCCGGCACAGACAAGCCGCTGGTCAACGGCACCAACCGCACCAAAGAGGAGAAGAAGAAGGACAAGGACAAGGGAGGGAAGGAGAAGAAGAAGCCAGAGGCAGGGAAGGACAAGGACAAGGACAAGGGAAAACCCAAGAAGGGCATGCTGAAGGGACTCGGAGACATGTTCAGGTAGGTTTCAGCTTCCTTTCACCACATCAACCAGAGCTGCAGACAAATCCGTCGCTTTATTTAGATTTTCAAGACGTTCCCAATGTAAAAAGTCCAGATTTAACATATGCATTCACTTTAACTCCAACGCCCTGAGATGGCAACAAGAGTCACTTGTGGCAGAGCTTTGAGCAAGTTGCTGCGAGTCGTAATAACTTTATTTCATTAGCCCCTTTCTTAAAGACAGTTTAAAAGTGCAGCACAAAGCAGATGGTAAAACTCAAGAGAGAAAAACTAGCAGACAAAACACCCAAATATATAAAAGAACAAAATAAAATGACTACAATGCAAAAGATCATTTTAATGTAATAAAAGAAGAGACTAATGTTGTCAATTCAAGATCCTATTTATTTAGTCACCTGATCGTGTCTGGTCACAAGGTACAGGAACAAACAGAAGGTTCCTGCCAGAGGATCTCAAACAGCGATCGGGCTCATTAGGAGTTATTATGTTTTAAATGTAAACTGCTGATTGGCTGTATAAGACTTAAAAACGAGCAATTTATTTATTTATTTTTTAAATCAATTCTAAAACTGACTGGTAACGCCTGAAGTCCAGCAAGAATCAGAGTAATGTGGTCACTTCTACTGGTTTAAAGTCAAGCAGCAGGATGTCTGTAAATGTTTCCCTCCCTGATGCTGCAGTGGAGCATTAAAGCCGCTGAATCTGGAGGTGAGCAGTGACCTTTTACTGAATCTGAAAAAGCAAGAAAGGATCTGACCTCAGAGATCAGCGGCAGCTGATTGAAACAATATTGCACCGACCTTTTGTCACCTGGGAAATAGAAGACAGACATGAATCGAAGATCGCTGGAAGATTTTGGGCCTCCTGCTTAACACAAGTGGATGATGGAATCCAACCAGACGTATGATGATCTGTGTTGTTTCTAGAGCTGGAGGTGATAATGCTGATGTCCGTTTGAGAGTGAACTAACATGTGCTCAAAGGTGGAAATCTCTGTAATATTTAAAGCTCTTGATCTTAACATTTAAAACAACCAGGCTAATTTAATATTAGTCTTATTTCTCAATTGAAAAGCCCTTTGGATGAGCTTCTGTTGTTTTAGATAATACAGTGTGAGAACTCAGTGTTCAGATCTCCTCTTGTTTTTAAGTACATCATGTCGTACATTTGCCATTTTTGCTGTATCATTATCTGCCACACCTCACAGAATCAGAGTGAGAACTACTATGTTGTGTCCAATATCAGTCCTGGCGTCCGAGCTACAGTGATCAATATCTACTGCAAACAGCTGATACAAACTTATTGAGTGAGTGTTGTCTTCCTGTGTGAAGAACAACACCTTAAATTACTTGTTTGGTACATCTGGATCGGTATAACCTGTAATATTTTTTAAACATTTATACAATTTTACAATACCTGGTTAGGTAACCGGTTAGGATGTACCACAAAGAGCCGTATAATTATTCTGTAAGGGAGACAGGTGACAAGCCTGAGCTGTGCAACCACAACATCACTAAATAAATGTAGGAAGCCCTAATTAGACTCCTGGACAACCTGACCTTTGTGGTTTATCTCCCTCCTATTCATTCTTTCTCTGCATCCGTCAATACTTTTCCTGTCATATAATCCCTTAAACTGACAGATTTTTTCACACACATTGCGTCAGTGTGAAGTCCATACATCCCCATTACATCGGTGTCCTTTGGTCACTCGGCTTGTGCTCCCTCGTTGTGACTTGGTGGGAAGCCTTTGTGTCTGGCCAGTAATATATTACCCAAAGTGGCAGTGACAAGGAGCGGAAAGCAGTGAGTGTTGTCTAAGAAAGCCAAATAATGAGGTCCACAGAGATGGAAAGAGAGAGAGAAAAGATGGGGGGAAAGAAGCAGGGGTTGGATGCAACAGGCGGTGACAGAAAAATATCAAGATTGCTCAGGAGCAGAAAGTGGATGACAGGAATTGATGGAGGTCCAACATATTGGAAAGGAAAGGAAATAGATCAAGTGAGCTGGAGCTGGATTTAACACGAAGATGTCAAAATGTGCATGGATCAGTATGTGTTCATCATATATGGTGCTGTGGAAAAGTTTTAACCATATCAAGTAAAGTAAGGACACTTTTAAAAGTACGTTCATGCACATGCTTTTGTTTATCACTGCAAACAAAGTGATCAAGAAATCAAACATCGACCGCATGTAAAGGTTTTATTTGGGCAGGGCCTGACTCCTCTCAACTCCAGTCCAAAAATGAACAAACAGGTGGAGTATGAGTGGAGCTGAGCTAGTCAATGAAAACCTATGTGAGCCTTTAATTGTTCTATTGCTGTCACTTAAAGCAGCCACGCTGTTTTTGACACATAACTTTAAGCCTTAATACAGTTTAAACGGATGTGCTGTATAAAAATGTACCCTCTGACCAGTTGTCATAAATGTGAAAGTTAGCTACAGAGACCAACACAGCTGTCTGTAGCAGGCGGTAAACGTGTAACTCTACTGTAAAGCTGAGAGTTTAACATAAGGGTCTATTGGAATTCAGTCACTTTTGGAGGCAGCCACTAGTGGCCATTCAGGGAACTGCACTTTGACACATTGCATTGGCTTTATTTTATTCGCCACTTTTCCACTTGAATCCAGTTAGTATTGGATGTAATCACTCTTTCCCTTTAGAAAGACAGCAGTTCTCTGATGGTGTGCAGATTTAACACCAGACCAAAACGACGCCTTGCTCAGAAACTTTTATTTTATTTTGACAGCTCAGCAGAACGTGTTTCTGAAAACATTTGAGACTAGAGATAAGCAATGTGTGTTTGGAGTCTATCCTCATGTTAGATTAAGAGCAGTTACTTTTTTTCCCAAAACTTTCACGATACGTCAGGCCAATGCTCCTTGTTTCCTCATTTGCAATGGCAACGCAACATCCCATGTCTCAAAATGCCACGCAACATTCCCAGAATGCCACGCGCTGCATCTCACAGACAATAAACGAGAAGCGTTGACATGACACATCCTCTGACACGTACCAGTAGCTAGACTCTGCCCAGTGTTTGAAGATGCTTGGTAGGTGGGTTCTCCGTTGTTGGGTTCATTCCTGCACATATCTGTTGAAGGGCTCCTTGTTCTTCTCACCACTGTTGAGGTTTCTTAGTGGTTCTGGTTGTATGTTTGAGGTAGCTGTCACATACTGCAATATAACTGACGGGACTAGTGTTATTATGTAATGGCTAAGGATCTAAACAGCTATTATATTAGATCAGGAAGCAATCTTTAGCTCTAGAAAAAGCTTCCTGTGGGCCTTGAGTAAAGTTCACTTTGTTTATCTAATGTTCTGTTATTTTCAATAACATAAAAACCACTAAAATCAGTATTTCAGGCGTTTTCATCACTGCTCTGCGTTATTGGATGTATCCTCACAGTGAAGTAATCGTATGCAAAGTAGGAAAGAAGGGAGAGCAGTGAATGAGAGAGAGGCTCTACAAATGCATCGCCGAGGACAAAATAGAGCGAAAGAGAAATATCGTTTGTGAATTAGAGCACTGAACTTGGATGTCAGGAGCTGAAATTGAGCTCTTTGACTTTGCAGGCTTGAAGCCAGCAGGGCTCTGAGTCAAACAGGTGGGAGCGCTTCAGATGACACCGGTTTATGTTTAGTAGAGCACAGAGACTCATGGAAAAGACAGTCGAGGCCACACACACAAACACACTGAGGATGAGTAAATCAGTGGGATACACATGGATAAATACTATAAACTCATATATGGAGGTGTAACTCACACCCATATGCACACTGTAATAATTAGTAGGAAACACACACATACATAGAGTTGATATTGTACACACATGCTGCAAATATATGCAGAGTTTCAGACTCAAATCCACACACAAGAAAGGCTGCTTAGTTTACGGAGAAACTATCCCCACAGTTTGGTCACAGACTAATGCACAGTGCAGTAATCCTCCGTCCTCTCCTGCACACACACAGACTAAGATCCAGTTTCCCTCTTCTCCTCCCATATGATAATGATTGGTGTGCATTGTCAAAACATCAGCGTTATGCTGCTCTGATTGGCTCAATATTGGCCACATCAGATCTGCTCCATTAAAACTCTGTCTGACTGCCTGTTTGATCGGCGCCCAGTGTTTACTGGCACAGACAGCTGTGTGCTCCAAAATAATGATGTGAGATATATTCAATCCATCTGTGTGTGTAGTCTGGATCTCACACTCAATCTAAAGGACAAATCCACGACAGTGTAGCTTTGGTACGAGCACAGCAAACTTCAGATTCGAGCCAGGATTTAACTTTGCTCCAAAGCCAGTTCCTGTGGATTTGTTGAAAGATTATTGATTTTCATTCAAGCCCAGGAGTGTCTGTACATTTTGTAATGTTTAGCCTGTGTTAGTATCCAGAGCACTAAAAGTAAAGTAAAAAGCATCAGGTTTGCCAAATGTAGTTGTCAGACTTTCACTTTTTTTTTTTATAGCATGTGGAGAAATGTCACGCCATGAGACCAGAACATACTTAAAAAGAAAAATGAGACAATTGTATTATTTACATGAGGGTCATTGAATTGATATTGATATTATATATATTGATATTGGATTTCCCTTCTGGGATAAAGTATTTTTCATTTCATTTCATTGTATCTCAAATCATCAGAGAGCTTCTGCTCAACCGTCTCTGGTTTGCTTAAAAAACATTTTTGATCATAAACTATGAATATTTAGAAGGACATCAGTGAAATTTTAGCGTGAATTATAAAATACTTTCCGTAAATTTTTTCACACATTAAAAGTTGAGGCTGTGTTTTAAAGCTGGTATCTCAGAACCTATGAGAGACGAAAGCCTGAAATGTTCACTGTTTCTCAACAGGCCATCGTTTTTTTAATGGTCTCTCTGATTCTGGATGAGTTGAAATATGAAAAAAATAAACAAGTGACACGTCATGAAAAGTTCCATTTTTGAGCTCATATGAACAAAACACTGATAAAGCAGAACTCAACAAGTG